GGGAATCATTGGTATGATACATACTCCGCCCACCATAAGGAAAGACTAGAGATGGAGACATCTGCCTACGACCCTTGTTTATTTATTACGAAGAAATGTAACGACTTTGCTATCGCAGCCCTTCAAACTGACGACACCTTTATCATTGGCACTGCCGGCTTCCTGGAGAAGGAAGAAAACGAGACGAGGAAAGCGGGCTATAAGACGAAGCCACAAACCCAGTTTGATACTGGTTCTTCTGGCGACTTCAACGGATGCCGCCTAGAATTTCAGACTGAGACCATGACAGCGACTCAAAAGGGACAAGCTGACAAGCTCGTCCTGATTGACATGAGTGACAAGGACTACAAGCAGAGATTCGTTGAGCAACGAGCGAGAGGCGCCTACATTGCCTCCATCTGCCAACCAGAAGCCGCATTCGACTATTCTGTCGCAGCCCAAGCCCAAGAACCCTCCGACAAAGATGTCGAGATGTTAAACAGACGCATTCAGTGGCAACTAGACAACAAGTTACGTGGACTTCGATTTGTGACGATTGATCTGTCTACTGCTAAACTCTTTGTATTCGTTGACGGGTCATTCGCCAACAATGAGGACCTATCCTCACAGATCGGATTTGTTGTTATCCTCGGGAACGAATCCTCTGGTGATGGCGAGACATTCACATTTGATCTGACCGGAAACATTGTTCATTGGTCCTCTACCAAATGCAAGAGAGTTACACGGAGCGTTCTAGCTTCTGAAGTCTATGACATGGTTGCTGGCTATGACTATGGATACGTGATCCATCGTACACTGGCAACTATCTGCCAATGCCTCGAAGTACCTACGATCCCCCTGATCCTCTGCACGGACTCATACTCGCTATACCAGTGCCTTGTCAAGCTCGGCACTACCAATGAGAAGCGCCTGATGATCGACGTCATGGCGCTCCGGCAATCATACGAGAATCATGAGATCACAGAAATCCGATGGATCCATGGTGAAGACAACCCTGCTGACTCGATGACTAAGTCGTCTCCAAATAAAGCCCTTCATGGTCTTGTTTCTGATAACAAGACAACGGTTCGAGTTGAAGGCTGGGTTCAACGTTGAGATCACCTGGATAGATGGTTTGATGGAATCGCAATCATAAAAGAGAGAGTATCCTGTGTTGGATCCATGCGATTCCAGCCTGCAAACCATCTATACCAAGACCCACATGTATGATTAGATAAGTGATTAGATACCGGATTGCGAGGTCACTTAGCTAGACCTTTCAGGTCCAGCTAGGCCTCCCAATCCAACCATCAGCAACATCATGACCTTGACCCAATACTCGAGTATTATGATTGATCGTTCAAGCCTGTTCCAACAATTAGTTCTTTCAGTATGGGGCAATATCGCCTCCTTGGTTTCCAACAGGCCAACGATCCACATGCAGCTATATGTTATTCATTTCGATCTGCATCTCGGCCCTAGGGGTCAATAGTGAAGTCGCTGCTTCTGGGCTGCTTTTATGATGAGTAAATCAGTGTCTGACAGTAGAAGGTCATCGCACATATAGAACCATTTAGTCTTGCCATAGTCAGAGGGAAAATAACCAGACATATTATGCATACAGGCAAGATTCCCCTGCGCCCTCAGAATTCACCGCCGCCGTTCTAGCTACATAACAGCCATGTCTAACCTCCAGCACAATGCTGATTTCCATCCCCATTCTTCGCGTCCTACGGAAAGCTACGTGATACCCACTAGCGTCTTTCTCCATACGCTTCAGGAGCTCGATTCGCGACTTCAGAATGCACAGCATCAAGTCTGGCTCAACACAGTTAAAAATGTAAAACTTCGAGAACAGCTGGGCAGATTGACGTATGAGAAGGAGAAGCTCCAGCGCGAGCTAGAAGTACAAGAACAGGTTGCATTTTGAACATTATTTTTCTAATGCATGAAGTTGTCTGTTCTTGAGTCATCCTGATAAGCTGCAAGCTTTCCCAGAGTGTCTCGACGCGCGTCAGAAGAGCAAGTCTTTTAACGCCAGGTTGGACACCCCATGAGCTCCATCTTCTTCCAGGATCACATCCCAGGACCCACAGACCCAGCCCATGACACCAACTATGAGCGGTGCTCTGGGCCGATCAGACAACACCTTGCTCTTCAACCTGGATGCGCTTATGCCAGAGCAGCTAGCCAGATTGCGCTACGGCTTCCTCCCCGCCCGCTGTGTTCATGAAGCCGTCCAAGGGCCACATGTATGCGAGCTGGAACGATGCGACCGAGTTCCATCACTTCAGAGGCTCTGCACAAGGAGTAAGAAGAACTCGGAAGAAATCATTGTCGTAAACCGACTTTGATAAGGGGGAGAGTAGTGTGACGGCTGTGGCGGCCTGCACAGACCTTCCCACATGACAAGCGGATACTTCCCAATAAGGGAAGGATCTGACCAGAGGATCCCCTTAAAAGGGCAACCTCCCACTGTACCTATCTCTCTCTCTCTTCCTTTCCTCTCTAGTCTTGATATTCTCGTCAATAGAGTACTAGCTGCTTGCTGCCGGCCATGTCCCAGCTCCTCAGTATGCTCGCCGTGACACATGCTGTACCTGGCTGAGCTATTACAGCAAGATCCAGACCTACGCTTCGGATATGCGGACGACATAGCGCTTTATAGGGTGTCTAACTCGCTACAATGTAACATAGGACTCCTAGCCAGCGATCTCAAGCAGGTTTTACAGTGGGGAGATGACAACAAGGTGTTCTTCGCCCCCGAAAAGTGTGAGCTGCTTCACATTACCAGGGGCCGAGACACCGCCAACCCTCCTTTGGTGGTAGGCAAGAGGCTTACTATCCACCCTGTGCAAGAGTCGGAAGGCAGTGAGAAAAAGCCGGCATTGCGGTGGTTAGGGGTGTGGTTTGACCGGAAGTTAACCTTGAAGAGACACGTTGCCGAACGCGCGTGCAAGGCAATGCAACTTTGCAAGCACATACGCAACCTAGCCAACACGAAGAACGGGCCACCAGCGTCTGGGCTACGAAAGGCTGTAATTACCTGTGTCATCCCAATAACGCTATACGGCATGGAGGCATGGTACGGCGGGCGGAAAAAGCTCGCAACCCATTTTTCCTTAGCAGGCAAGGCGGAGGTCAGTACCCGTATAGGAGGGCACATTGCCACGATACAGCGAGCCCTCACCATGGCAGCGCGTGCGGTGCTCCCTGTATGGCGGACCACCCCTACCTACACGGTCTACAGAGACGCCGGACTCCCAACGGCGGAGACAGCTCTGGACCAGGCCTTATGGCGCTTTGCGTACAGGCTTCGAACTGTGGACAAACTACACCCGCTCACAAGACGAATCGTCCTACCGGCCATCGCACGAGGCCGAGGTGCGGGAGGGTACCAACGACCCAAGACCAAGATACAGGCAGTAGCACGCATGCTGCCCCCGGTACAGCGGCCCTTGCTGGTGCCCCCAAGATTCATGCCGGGCTGCAGGGTTGATCTAATGAGAGGTCAAAACAAAGAGCAGGCAGCAAAGTCTTTCAAGGCTTGGTTCCAAGCACTGCCTCCAGAGGATGTGGTAGTGTTCTCAGACGGATCTAAGGAGGACATATACGTAGGATACGGCTACGCAGTCTACCAGGGCGGGCACTTAGTCGCCTCAAACAGGGGCCGCCTACACCCGTGCTCTATCATATTCGACGCGGAAGTGATAGGAGCATGGAAAGGGCTCCAGTATGTGACCAAGGCCCCTCCGGAGCTGAGCCAGCGCCGGATATGGGTGTGCGTGGATAATACAGGAGCGATCTGGGGGCTTCGCGGCAACGCCGCGGTGTCCTGTCAGTGGGCTTACCTAAAGTTCCACGCTGCGGCGGAGATCCGGGACGTCACTGTTAAATGGTGTCCTGGCCACTGCGACGTAAAAGGCAACGAGCTTGCAGACAGGCTGGCCAAGGCTGGCTCTAAGCTGCCTGACATCGACAGTGACTGTACGCCCACAGATTACGGCATCAAGTCCATGGCGCGAATAAAAGGAGCTGCAGCTCGTGAGAAATGGTGGGACAAGGCGCAAACAACGCTATCATCTCGCTACAAGGACTGGAACCTTAAGTACCACTTACGCTGTCACGAGGAGCTGCAGGTGCTTACCAGGCCAGCACTACATCACTACCTAGCTACCCGCACAGGACACGGTGACTTTGCCTGTTACCACGACAAGTTTGAGCATATAAACGCTAACCGGGAATGCTCTTGCGGGAGGGCAAAAGCTCCGGAACACATCGTCCACTGCCAGAAATCCATTGAGCAGTACAAGAGATGGCCCCTGGGCCCCTCCAGGCGGCCTACCAGGCCGGAACGGCAACGCTACCTGCGTGATATCATGACCACTTCTACAGTGTACTGAGACCTACTCCTAGCCACAGAGTTTTATGGCGGCATCTGCCCTTGCTATTGATAGCACTTGCATTTTTCTTTATTTGGGCGGCGTCTGGGGGATCTGCTTTATATCTCTTTCTTTTGTAGTGCACTCGCACGTGAAGCAGGAGCATAAGTTCCATAAACCTTACCCTGCAGCTCGAATCAAGCTGTTTAAACTTGGCTATGCTAGGAATTTAAAGACTGCGAAGGACGTCGGTACCAACCCTCACCCGGAGGAGGGGGGACACGATGAGAACCGCTGCTTAAATGCAGTGGCTGTTTACGAACGAGATCTGCTAGCTGGGCAGCTGTATGTATATATATAGTATGAGACCTAGCCTAGCACGCCTGCGCGCCCTTTTGGAGGCCCAGGGCCGCCGCTATGCGGCAGGCCCCCTGGCGTTAAATGCTACTACTACTACTACTACTACTACAGCAAGGCAGACAGAGACTAATCAAAACGTAGCATGTAATATCAATTATGCCTGACAGACCACCCGTGTCACCGAGTTCTCGACCGACCAAACGCCCAGTATAGGACCGACGAGAACAATCCCCACATGACTCGGCTCGATACATATATCAGTCTACCGAAACCAATTGCTCATACCAAGCCATCTCTGATGTTATCGTACTGTGAATTAGGATACGATAGACAGTTCGGAGTCACATCTAGCAAGTCGCCGCCACCTTGCGCATTAAATGAGGCAGCAACCAAACTGCCGTTGTCTACTCGGTCGCCAGACGCCTCCCAAAACATCGTACCGCCCATGCCTTCGCTCTGTAGGTACGAGACCTTCCTTCCAACCATATCGACATTGTCGTACGAGATGAGCTCCTTTGTCAAGACATCGAATGAATACGAAGCGCCAGATTCCGAGTCATAAATCTCGGTGCCAGATCGAGGCAGAATCTTGTAGTCCCAAACCCCGGCCTCCCAAGACCCTTGCCCAACAGCTGTATAAGGCTCACCTAAGCCGTCGGTAGATTCGAATGAGCGGCCGTATAGGGGCATGCCAAGAATAATATTTTCTGCGGGCACGCCGCCGGCAATGTAAGCAGCCACAGCAGCATCTGTTGAGAACTTGGTGGCAGCGGGGTTGCTTTTGCTGGCATGGAGGTTGGCTTGGTGGCCTGACGTAAGGTCCCATGAGCCAACGTAATCGTAAGCCATCAAATTGAAGTCATCGAGGAGACCTGCCATCCGGTCGAGCTTGAGCTTTTGATAATTTGTGGGACCAGCAGGTAGAGCAGCCGTCAGCAAGAAATGATAACCGTTAGCGAACTGGGTCGAGTATGAATCTAGTTCGTTACGGATAGTCTCAAATAGCGCAACCATGTTGTTAGCCTGTGTTTCGTCGCTAGGGTACTCCCAGTCGACATCTAATCCATCAAACCCCCAGTCCTGAAGAAGAGCAACGGCGGTCCTAGCGAATGTAGAACGGCTAGCTTCAGTGCTAACAGCCGCTGCAAAATTATCGGAGTAGGTCCAGCCACCGATACTGAGGAGCACCTTCAGGTGTCGGTTGCCCTGTTTCAGCTTGAAAAGTTGCTTAACACAACCGTACGCATTGATGCCGACATCATTCCAGGCTTTCACACATGGTAAGTAGGTTCCCTTCATAGCAATCAATTGTTAAAGACTGACAGTCGTCATCGTAATGCTTCTCGATATCAGCGTACGTATCAGATGCGTAGCTAGAACAACAGTAAGCATGTGGTCAAATGCATGGGCGACTCAACCTAATAACGAGACCTACACAGTTCCATCGGCTTTAAGGTTGGCAAAAGAGTAAAGAACCTGATTGATCTGTGACGCGGGTAGCTGGGCAGGCTGATAATCTCTGACATATATTCCCCTGGACTAGTGTCAGATTCAGGCTTTATCAGCATGACCAAAGGCAAATACCAATTAGTGAAATATACTTTGTTCTGGAAGCAATGAACACGGTTGTCGATAATTACAATCAAGACAGCCACCTTTAGCCATAAATAAAGGACAGAAGTAAAAAAAAAACCTTTCAGTGCCACCATTTTGGAATAAAGTTGTACCTATCGCAATGACATAGTAAAACAATCCTATATTTTATTTTATTTCAAGGTCTAACAAGTCAATATAAAGAATAATAAATGTAGCCGTTATGGGACAGTGAGATCAGTATTATTATCTCGATCGTTTTGCCGCCCTATGTGCTCCACCGTCGTCTTCATATGGCTCTCTATCTCTCTAGCAGAAAGATTGACCGAATTTTGGAAATACATATTCGGTTCTTGTTTAGCCAAGCAGTTTCTACCAATGCTAAGCCCATTCTAGAGGTAAAACATTCAGCCTGCAGGTGGCCCACAGTGGGCTGACTAGACAGCGTCTGCTTGTAGAGATCAGCATATCCACAACTAGCTCAAAAGCCAGATCTTGATTTGGCCTTGAGCAGCGACGCTTCAGTTCGGGGTTGGCTTGTTTTTCGGCCACATTTCTCTTCATGTGTTTCATCGCCCGACAGGTGTTCGGTCGTCTTTGCCTAGAAGGTAAATCAGCTTTCCCGCGAGTGGACATTTTGTAAATGAGGTCGATGCCAATGCCAAAACAAGTTAATAGAAGGGAATGGGCAACTTGATATATTTATAGACAATCAAACTGTATACTAAGAGGTCTTGTAAGATTTCAAACCGTTCTGTATTGAAAGAGAAGAGAAGAAGATCTCTGGGGGAGAAACCTGACCACTTCTTCTGTGACGGGGACCTCGTCTCCTCGTCGGTCCAAAAGCAGCGCCATCATCTTGCCACACACACTCTTGCCAAAAACAACTATTTTTCTTGGAGCCCCACTGTTAGGGCGCAACCTCTATATCTGCACTAAAGCAGGCATTTGTCACAGTATCTGACTATCCTTGCCAAGGCACAGAAAATTTTTCTCACAAGCTGGATGGCACCCCTTCACGATAGGCCCCCAAATACGCCAGTGGCTGTCCCAAAGACAACTACTGGCGGTGTGCTCAAATCCCCGGCCCCTAAAAGAACATATGGCCCGGCAACCCCAAGCAGGCTCCGCCAGTAGGGTTTGCTGCTTCGGTGTTAATTGCGAGTCTTCATCGGTGGCACCTCTGCGTAGAAGGCTCTCGAGAGTGGTTGAAGCTTCGAGCTTCCGCTGTGATTCAAGTGGACTTTCAATAAGGTCAAAAGAGCCTGCGTTCATGACCAGCTTCAGGACGCTGCCCGTAGTGTGGAAAAACCATGCGATCCGACTCAGGGCCACTGTGATCAAGCCTGGACACGTGAAACCAGTGGACTTCAAGCGCGGACAGATTGCAGAAACAAGTGTGCCGCTCGCAACGCCGAGTGTTTCAGGTCCTGTGCTTCCGTCTCTTCATACATCAGCTACCAAGCTTTCTGGTAAAGAATTTCTGAAGCCTGATGACCTGAAATCTGTCATCTCCCAGCACTCCCGTGTCTCCACTACTGTTGATCTCTCAGGCAAGAATCTATGCTGGCCTGCACGCCCAGTCGGGAATAGCGAATACTTTGACTGCCCTTACTGTAGGACTCTATGCCCCCCACGAACCTGCATGGGGGATCCTGGCGGTAAGTGATCTCCTGCCCCTCTTTCGACCGCATCTATTTTTATTGAGGCTTTCGTCCAGATTGCATTTAATCCATGACCTGCAGCCGTACCACTGCACGTACGAACACTGCCAGGACCCCAACCGGCTGTACGGAACGCGGGAAGAATGGATCGCCCACGAAAACCGACATTCGCGAGTATGGCACTGCCAGGATCATGGAAGCGAGTTCGAAACACAGCCTGACTTTGTTCAACATCTCAACAGTGCACACCCCGAGAAACCACCCGAACAGCTATCCGATGAGCTTTTGAGCGCTGCAGTTGGTCCTTCCAATGTGCCACATCGAGATTGTCCGTTTTGTCCGACTGCCTTTCCCGATATTACTGAAATGCAAAAGCACATGCTTTCACATCTGGAACGACTTGCACTGCTGGCAATGCCTAAAGCTCAAGAAGGCGTTGATGATGGTGACATTACCGTGCAGTCGGCGGACAGCCACGATGCCCAGATGCTGTCAAACAGCGTGTAATATGATGTATCTGGTTGATAACGTGTATTCTGGTGATTCTGATGAGAGTGTGTATTCTCCAGGTCTCCCCGTAGTAAGCCGCAGGGCCCGAAATTGCCCTAGAGGCCCTGTTGGTGCACTGCCACCTCCCTGAACGCCACTGTGGCTTGCGTGCCATTTGACAGAAAGCTCGCCGAAAGTGGAGTTTCCCGATAATAGCAGACGTTCTGAACCACGCAGCGAAAGTCCCGTCGAGCCGAATTCCGCCCTTCTTGGCTTGCGGTCTGTTTGGAAAAGGCCCTGTATATCTTAACAGCTGCTTTGCATTCGTCATTCCACCAAGCAGTGGGCCTAGATTGTCGGGGCTTCTTGCCCACTGTCCTGACGCAGCCTTGGATCACGTCGATCAAGCTCTGCGTAAAGGCATCCACCTGGCCAGGGGATGCACCCAGCCGGGGGGGCTCGTGAATCCTGTTTTGGACATTATCAACCAGCTCTTGTGGTTTGTCGTCCGGTACTATCCATCGATCGGCCTTAGGGACCCGTTCCAGGTCTCCCTGAATCGGAACGACTATTTGTAATGTCTCGTGATCTGAGTAGTAGTAGTAGTAGTAGTAGTAGTAGTAGCATTTAACGCCAGGGGGCCTGCCGCATAACGGCGGCCCTGGGCCTCCAGAAGGGCGCGCGGGCGTGCTAGGCTAGGTCTTATACTATATGATATACAGCTGCCCAGCTAGCAGATCTCGTCCGTAGACAGCCACTGCATCTAAGTAGCGGGTCGTGTCGTGTCCCCCCTCCTCCGGGTGAGGGATGGTATCGACATCTATCCCGATCTGTGATATCCTTGATTCCGGGGCTCCGTAGAGCTGACACGAAGCTTCCAACCTCCCATCCGTCAATAGGTCACCGTCTAGCCCACCGTATCACGAGCTCCTCCCACCGTAGCGGTTCACCGGCGATTTGAACGGTCGCGTTCGTCAGCCCCTTCTATCGACGTATGTTCGGCATCGGGGCTCTCTCGTATCGTGGTTCGGGGCCGTCGACGTCGGGTCGTCGCCAAGGCGACTCTTCGCTAAAGAGCGACGCGCGTCGTGATCCTCGTCGTCAGGTCCTGCGGCGACGAGCGGCACGTCCCCTTTCCCTAAAGTCTGGAGTCGTTACGACGGCGACGACGACTTCGAGGTTGCCGTCATCGTTACTGAGCTGTTGTCGACTGTCTCTAAGCCGGATCTCCCGTATTCTCCTTCTACAGCCAAAAACAGCTGCTGTTAGTGCACGCAAAATTTTCACATACAAATTGCATGCGTCATTTTCCAAAACAGTAACAGTGGGTGCCAAGACTTGTAGTTGTAAGAGGAAAGATGCTTCTTAAGCATGACTACCTCTGCTGACTTAAAGGGGGTGGGATGGTGCCCTGTTCTAAGGCAGGCTTGAAACAGAAGCCGAATCGGCTCTGCTAGGTGAACCCATGCCGCTTTGAGGAGCCGTGTTGAGAGAGAGTCTATTCCAAGAGCTGTGTTTTTCGTGAGAACCATTTTGGCAAGTTCGGTTGGCGATATTATAGGTTGGTCTCTGAGTCGTCGGTAACGACTCGCGGTCACGTTTGCGCTTGAGCTCTGGTAAGTTAACGAGTGACCGTTGTGAACAAAGAGGATATATATCTAGTTCATACAAAACTGCGTATCTAAAGGGGTAAACGGGGTAGTATAACCCCGATCATGTCGCTGACCACTGCACAGACGACCAGGCGTCGATCGAAGAACTGACCAAAGCCACATCCCAGAGCTTCACGCAGGAAAAGGTCCGTCTTCTCTACGTCCGTGCACAAGTCGCCCTCATAGATCTAAAGGTCGACATGGCCGTGTGCGAAGTGATGCGTGTGTATAAGCGAGTCGTCAAAAGCGCCACCACAAGCACGTTTGTGCCTACAATGACTATCACGAACCGAATGGCGGGATCGATCGCTATCTGCCGGAACATCATCAATTGCTTCGGACTCCCATCAGTCAGTACGGAGACTGCATTACAAATTCTCAAGATGGAGCACAGGCACTGACTTCTGGTCTTGACTTTTGATGCTGCTGACCGGGAGTGCAGTCGACACAACCATGCAAGCCGTCGTGTACGGGGCTTTTACGCTTCTCCAGTGCTTGTCATACTCCATCTCCACCGAGCAAGGCGATAGTGTCTATTAGGTGCTTTTAAGACGCCTTCGTGCTCTTGAATGGCATCGCTACAAACGGGGGTGTCGCCAGATACCGGTGCGGGATCAACCCATACCCACTTGTTCTCGTCGCCCACCGCACAAACGAGAACACAACCAAGCGCATTTGACCATTGCGCCATACGGCCTGGGAAGACAAGTAGTGGAGAGCTTGTGCACAGTCTGCGAGGACAGCATGTGCGTCCTCCAGCCCACCCGTGAAGTAATCATTCTTAACCCAAGCGTTGGCGAGGGTCTGGGTGCCTGGCCACTTTAAATAGAGAGAAAGAAAGCGGAGATCTGCACCCAGACATGATATGAGATTGGGCTACCAGCTCACAAACAGGTCAGTGGATTGCTTATGGGTAGAGGGGTTATGGAAACTAACGTGCTGGAGTTTAACAAGCATATTGTATCGTTTCCACCATAGGCTCTTGACGGATACAATCCCTTCGTTATCTGCGTTGGTAGATGTCTCCGATCCCGGTCTTGAACTTTGCTGCGCCGACTTTGCTACACGAATAATCTTTCTTCTTTCTTCACTCTTGGGCTAGTGGGAGGCACATTGTCGGCTTCATCCAGGTCCATGCTATCATGATCAATCTGACTTCGAAGTGTGGTGAATTGTTCGCTGATGTTCGGATCATTGTTCGCCTTGAATTGTTCTTCCAAGACAGCTAACCTGGCTTTAGCATCCTGGAGTTCGGCTGCTTTTGCAGCTGCTGTGCTCGCCATGTGTTTAGTCCTCGGGCGCCTGTCCTCTTCTTCCGCTCTGGTTTCCTTCACTCTGTAGTGTGCCTAGTACCAAGGTCATACCGCCGCAACAACGGGGATGGGCCCGTGAGCGGGACTGACTGTACTTATTATCTTGAGGCCTCCACAACCCTGCGATGCAGAGGCTCTGGGAGGCGTGGTCTGCACTACTGAGGAGCTACCCCCCACGTTAAATACAAAACAAACAAACAAACATGTCCATTATCTCCTTCGCGATAAGATATAACTGCCTTAATCTCGAAGATGTCTCTAGTCTCCTGCTGCCTGTTTATTAGGGACAGAATAGCCACAATACACATAGATTCTTTATGTATAAATAGTAAAGGCTTGGCAGCGGTTTATAGATCCATTACGTTCGCTGGAAGGTACTTGGGCCGTTACAAAGTCCAAAGGGGAGCACCTTGTACTTGTACTGGCCGAAACGCGTGCGGGAGGTCGTGAGATCTTCGGAGGCTGGGTCCATACGAATTCGGTGGAAGGCCGCCCTGATATCTAGCTTGGTAAACAGCTTAGCGCAAGACAGACGTTCTAACGTTTCGCTGATTAGCGGCAGCGGGTAGCGGTCCTTCTTTGACTGAGCATTGAGCTCGCGGTAGTTGACACAGAAACGCAAGCCTCCGTTCGGCTTTTTGGCAAAGAGGACAGGGGATCCATACTCTGCTGCACTGGGAACAATCCATTCCTTGCATAAGTATTCGGTCAGATATTGCTTAAGGGCAACAAGGTGGTCGGCCTTCATGCTATACAAGGGGTGCAGGCGAAGTGCCTTGGCCTCTGGCTTGAGCTCGATCTTGTGGTCAATATCCTTGCGGAAAGGGGGTAACTCGTTGCTCTTCGTCTTAGAAAACACATCCATAAAATCTTGCACCTCTGGGGGAAGCCTGCTGCGTAGCAGGTGCTGAGTCTCTAAGTCTTCCTTATCGATCGAGTAATCAATGGCTTGATCAAGCTCGTGTACCAAAAAGGAGAATACGTTTCCGTAGCTGTGTCGTTGGTGTTGCCGCTTCTGACGGTGACCAGCCCGTCTAAAGAAGGTACTTCCTGAGACTAGATGGATATCCGCGCCCAGAGCGTTCACCCTTACGTCCTTGCTAATCTTAGGATGAGCAGCCTGGCAAGGGGAAGTCTTTTGCGAGGATGCCACGCGGTCCTGTCCTGCTAGCTGGTCTTTCATTGCCTGCAAGGACTCATGATAGTCTCCTGCCCATGTAGCCAGCATCTGGGGGCGACATAGTATCTTCTGTGGGCGTTTCTCTTGATCTTCCCACCGTGGATCCCTATGGAGCATGTCCTGCTGGGCCTGAGGATTGATACCCCGTGGCCTTAACCACTGGCGAGCTGGGTTGGTGATGTCGGTCTTCCAGTTGGTAAGGTAAGGTAGTTCCGGTGGGAAGTATAGGCGGTTCCGCCAGCAGTCTGGTAGGAGGTTGTAGGCAGCTAAAAACCGCTTGCCGATAATAAGGTCGAAGTTCTTACTGGGCCCAAACTCAGCTTCCAGGATAGGGGCTTCTCGGAAGGTCCTTCCCTGAATTTGGAAATTTGCTGCAACCGCCGTGTTGATAACCTGTGAGCGTCCCTTGCCGAAGCCGTTCAGGGTGGCGGGCTCATCACAATGCCTTCGAGGGAGTTCCCATCGTTAAGCCAAGGGGCTCATAATCGAACGGCTGCCTAAGAGGTAAACTTCTGCTCCGGTATCAATCAACGCTTTTACGCGTACCGCAATTCCATTCCATCGGATGGTTGCAGTCATTACAAAGGTACTGCCGCCAATCAAGCCGGAGAGGTCTGATTGGAGTAATGGAATTTCGAGGGAGTGGTAAGCTAGCTGATTAATAGTACATTGGAGGCCTAGGCGGGAGACTTTCCCTAGGCCTTCGAGTTTTCCGACTTGCTATTAGAAGTAACATCCCAGGTCGGATTAGAAGGGGCCCCGTTGTCTTCCCCCAGAAAGTGTACACAAGGAGTCCTTTTATCTGGACACTTGGGGGCTATATGGCCATCCTTGCCACACGAGTAACATGTAATGCTTTCTGCCTCGTAAGGTGTGCGCGATCGATTAATATGCTTCCTTTCAGGGGCTGCAGAGAGACAGGGAGTCTTCCGATCGGGTGATGCCCTTGCTGGTTGGAAGGTAGTATCAATCGCTTGGTCGGGCCAAGCTTGGGTTGGTACGCTTCTAGTAAACCGCTGGGGTCCAGGTGCCGCAGTAATAATACGGCAAGAATTAGCCTTCGAGAAGCTCTAACGTTGCTTCTTGATTCGTTCGACCTTTACAGCCCTCTTGAGCGGAGGGAGCACTGGAAGTCCTCTCGCTACGGCGGCAGAGGCCCACGAACGAGCAGCTTGATGGCAACAGAGCCATCCAGAGCAGCAGGTGACCAGTGGAAGCCACGAAGCGGCAGGAATAACAACTTCAACGACCAGCAGGACGACGAATTGTCAGCTACGGTGGACACGCCTGGGCCACTGAATGTCAGCGACTACCCTCCTGCTGTCAGTCAGAGTAGCACGCACGGCAAGCGAAGGAGAGCTTCCATGAGATCCAGCGGCAAGCAAACGGGATGGGTCCCTAGGTTGGAAGATGTGGAGGAGGGTACATGGACCATTTAAGACAGTGAGAAGCGAAAACATCGGCCGGTTTCACAGAATGAAGATGGGAGATACTACATTGTGAAAGGCGGATCGACTGTGTATTTTGAGGGATGAGCTCATGGAGTTCTTCTTGCTTGAGTCACAACGCCTTTTTGAGCAACTACGCGCTGGTACATGTCGAAAGAACACTGTGACCTCGTATATGCTCCCTGCTGCAATTGCGCATACAGCCTGTCGGCCATTTGCTCCAAAATGACACTCCCCGAGGTCCTCCTGCAATGCGGTACGGTGATAGTCGCCCCGTGCTCCGAACGTTATCCATCGCCCATACGGACGCCCCGAATATAGGCTCTATATTCCGTGATGACGCAATATTATGTCGCCAGACGGCACCTAGTCTAAGCCCTAGTTAATGTCGAGCGTTTCAAGACTGACTCCTTGTGCCTCTCGTCAGTCAGTCCCAAGGTCTTTGTCGTTTAGGTGTTGTCTTCCTTAGTGGAAAGCAATGGTTTCTCTCACTCCGGAAAATCAAACCACTTTTAACAAGTCTTCTCATATCTCACTTGACGAGCTTATTACTCCTATACTTAAATACAGCTTCTCAACACTAAAGATCGAGAAGATCATATCACCAGCTCCTATAAAAAGCTTCAAATAAGCCAAGAGCCGACCAGAACTCTGGGATGCTTGAAACCTGCTTTCGACGCACAGATCGACAGTCTCGAGACTCGCAAGGCCTTCGACCTGGTACACCTCCCTCCTGGTCAACGAGCATTAGTGCAGTACTGTGTAAATTAGGAGATACTCATCCCGCCATACGAAGGCTGGAAGACCAGCTGCACCTCGCCGCAGACCCTGCATCCCAAAAGCGACTTAGGCTCTGGACAGCTCATCCCCTCCTCTACAGGTCCATGCAGGCTGTTGGGGTAGGCAAACAGGCGCCGCGACTTATGGTGTCCAGCGGTGTTTAGTTTAGTTTAGTTTATTTAACGCCGTAGGGGCTCTAGGCTCCAGATCCTGGTGGACGTTTGGCGTGCAGGTGACTATCTCAGGGGCGAATATACAAGCCTTACTAAAGGGTCTCGGGGTTCATTATAGCAGCTGCTGCTGCTTGGATCTCCGCTGCCTTCACCACATGCTCGTTTGCGAGGGTTTTCCGTCGGTTTACAGGCCAAAGACCAGCAGCACGCCATCCCGAACGCACTATAGCTTCCGTGGCTTCATCACGGGCCTTAGCTAGGCAACTGAGGAACCGTAGCTTGCCTATAGGCGCCGAATCGTTCAACTGACCGAGCTGGTTGATGAGGCGGCGGTAGGCGGCTTTCACCACAGAGAATATGGTTAAATCCAGGGGCTGGAAGATGTGAGACTACTTCTATTAGCGAAATAACTACTGATTATCATATAACTTACCGTATGGGCAGGGAAAAAGCTCAGATAAACATTGTTTATATAGCATAGATATATAGACTCATTTGAGCAGTGGCTGCCATGGCCGTCGAGTATTAACAGGCGAAAATCTTCCGGATCTTTAGGGCAGTTTCCGGTAGATAGATCTAGGGCTTGTTTAGCATGTAGTTACCGTTAATAAATAAGAAAAAAATCACCTTTTCAAGCCATTGCAACGCGATCTCGTTTGAGGACCAGCCGTTGGCAGAGTAGGTCACAAACCACTCTGCTACCCCAGGATGCTCCTGAATAAGCTGCTCCTTAAACCACTGGGTCTGGATCGACTTCGCCTTGAATATAACGAGCGGCCGGAGCTTCTTCCCAGTGGCAGTGATCGATTCTATCACTGTAGTCCACGTGCGGTCGTCGTTGGACTTGACGTTGGCCCCTTTTGAGCCAGAACTGCCTATTACAAGGCCATCAGACCTATAATCTCCTGGTCAGCCGTCCGAAAACCACTTGGATTGGACACTTCACGTACTGCTGACCTTGCATAATGCCGTACTTATCGACATTTGCCCGGTTTTCGGGTTTAATAAAGGCGAAATCCTTGTAGCGGTCATGGAAGCCATTGATGTTTTTAGGAGTGGCAGCATTAATACGCTTGTAGTCAAGTTTTCTTCCCATCTTGGTCTTGATCTCTGGGTGCCTCTGGACGAAGTTTCGCATGTATTTGCCCCCTAAGTGATCTGCCTTGTCCATAGACTTCAGGATCCGCTGGATAATGTACCTCACATTGCCGTGAGTTGGCGCGTGGCCAGCCTTTTCTTGATGGAGGATCCATGATACCACCTTAGTCTCTTGCTCAGGGCTTAGTTTTTGGCTATTTCGAGCCCCTTCACGGCTATTCAACGTTGGGCGCATCGTGGTGCCCTCTACCTTGCGTGCGAGAGTCGATTTCGGTACTCCCCAGCGCAGATTGGCCTTGCGGAGGGATAGGCCATCGTTCACAGCGGCGATTGTCTCTACAAGGTCGTCTTCAGTGTATAAAGGAGGCATTTCAACGTACTGAAGCCTATGATGCTTACAGAAAAAAAGAAAAAAAAGAACCGCAGAACTTCTGTTACATTGAAGGGGATAGGGGCACGGGTCCCATTACCCCTCAGATTAGGCCCGGAAGTGCTAATTTCCGACCCCCACCGCCGCCGATCCCCCGCGTTTAGACCATATAAAACCTAGATCAAAAGAAACACCAAGAAAAGACGATTCAGATGCCGTACTTACGGTATCTAGGGCTCCATTGGCTATGGAGATGTGTATAAGTGAACATTGTGGGTTTGGGTGTGGGAGGTGTCCCACATCTAGGGCTGTCCCACATCTATGCCCCCGCCGTAACTCTTCCCCGCTCCGTTCTCTCCCCAACACACAAGCATCCAGCAGAATGTCATGCCTTTGCCACAAGCTTCTGCTAGGGCTGTACTCTACCATTACCGAGAGTGAAGTTGGTGCCCTAGCTTATTTCTGGAGATATCTTGCTGATCCACCCATAGCGTAAGGTACTGAATCAGGCCTGGAGAGAGACACCTCACCTCTTTCATCCTCAACCGACAAGCCCAGAAACCGAGACCTCCGTTGTCCCACCGCAGCAGAAGAGATCGCTTTCCGATAAGCTTCCTGCCCATCTTGGTCTTGATCTCTGCGTGTCTGCGGATGAAGTTTCGCATGTATTTGCCCCCTAAGTGATCTTCCTTGCCCTCAGATTGTAGGATCCGGCGGATAATATACCTCACATTGCCGTGAGTTGGCGCGTGGCCAGCCTTTTCTTGATGCAGTATCCATGAGACTACCTTAGTCTCCTGCTCAGGGCTGATCTTCTGCCTATTACGAGCCCCCTCATGCCTATTCTGGGTTTGATGCATAGTGGTGCCGACTACCTTACGCGAGAGAGTTGATTTCGGCACTCCAAAGCGGAGGGAGGCCTTGCGAAGCGACATGTTGTCGTTCACAGCGGCAATCGCCTCTGCGAGGTCTTCTGGAGTGTACGAATGAGGCATTTCAACGTACTAAAGCCTATAATGCTTACAGAAAAAAAGAAAAAAAAGAACAGCACAAACTCTGCTGGGTTCAAGGGGATAGGGGCCACAGGGGCCATTACCCCTCAGATTAGGCCCAGAAGTGCTAACTTCCGACCCCTACCACGGCCCATCCCGTAGGGCTACACCTAATAAAACCATATCAAAAGAAACACCAAGAAAAGACAATTCAGATGCCGTACTTACGGTATCTAGGGCTTCATTGGCTATGGAAATGTGTATAAGTGAACATTGTGGTGTTGGGTGTGAATACTGTCCCACTTATGGGGCTGTCCCATTTATATGCCCCCGCCGTTATGGGGTTTTAGTAATATTGGTGACGTTGAGACCTCAGGGTGAACCAGAACCCCTAGATTCCAAGAGTTGGTTACTTCGGGCCGGTCCCATCTTGTCACACTGAGCCCTGCCCGATGCCCGTTCTCCGATGATCTCGGTCTTGAGCTTGGGGAACTCTTTCTAGATGAGGTCGATAAGAAGCTTGCGGACACGCAGCTTCAGGGCGTCCATGCCGGCCTTTCCGGTCGAGTTCAAGACCAATCAAGGGGTCTTGGCAAAGAAACTTCGCTCGTCTGTCTGCCCCTGCTCAAGGCTTTTGTTCGCATCATCCGGACCTCGGTTCTTGACGATGTAGTAGCCCAGGGGGAGGTCGCTTCTCTTGCCCATGACATGATCGATTGCGAACTGTTGGGTGGTCTGCTCGATTGCCAGATCAGGCTTGGTAAGAACAGCCATGGTTCTCGTCATGGTGGGATCAGCGTTCTTGGCCAGCTTCAAGATCTCTTGCGTGGCAGTGTTAACGTTGCTGGGCATGATCGCCAGAATACTGCAAGTCAAATGATTAGAGCAGGAAACCTCACGATGATATGGATGAGTACTCACATCGTTCTTGAATCCTTCATTAGATTAGTGCGAGCACTTTAGCACTAATTCTGAGACCACTTGCCCGGGATCACTTACTGTACTTCTTGACCATGCTCATGACAAGCTCGATGTCGCTTTCCTTGGTTACGCCTGCAGTACACAAGATCAGTACATCTTCACAGCGAAGTGCCTTAGGCCAGTGACTGACCATCAGTTTCCTGTCGAAAGATACCAGGAACGTCAATCACGGTAAAGTGCTCCTCCTAGGCTACGTCAGGATTTAAATGAAGGTAAAGTCGACTTGTATTAGTTCTTACGTTGGGGCCGAGCTTCTCGATCTTGAGAACATGCTCGCTGAACGCCGGGAGGGTGGTGCCGTTCGGTGAAGTGGTGGTCGTGGCAGTTCGGATTCCCATGGCCTCATTTGCCTAAAGAGTGTCAGGAAAGGCTTGATTCGTAGAGAGCGACACATGCGACATACCTCCTTGAACAGTTTGGCAAGGTTCTTGGGACACATCTCAGTCAAGGTGCGCTGGAAAGCCTTGACGCGTTGCTGTTCCTGGGGCGGCGCATCCAAGTTCGGCATGATGGACACCATGACGCTCTCCTCGTCCTCGCGGCAGCAGGTGATTTGGGTGGCATAGCGTGTGCAGAGCTTTGCATTGTGGGGAAAGGCGAAGCCCGTCAGTCCCTCAAGCACCGAACTCTTGCCCGAGGACTGGTCTCCAACGACGACGAGCTAGGTAGCGATGGTTAGTAGAGATCTATCAGTAAGGTATGATCAAACATACCTGAGGAACGGTGGTAGTGGTACCATCCTCCCAATAGAAGTCGTACACCCCCACTAGTCGTACAGCCAAACCCCACCATCACCACCAAAACGCTCCCTTATTCACTTATACACCAATGAAGCCATTCAGGTCAGAGAAATACAGCGAAATTGTCATTCGAAAGCGCTGAAGCTTTTCAAGCCTAATATCTAGCCGGCGCCCGAATGGCTCGCCCGGATCGCGATAGGCGAGGCTCCTGTATAGCCTCCAAAACGTCCTTATCAAGAGGGTCATCCTCATCTTCCTCTTCGTCCTCCGACTCAACAACTATCTCTTCTTGTACTTCTGCGCGTGCAGCAGGGCTAATGGTACCTCCATGGGATAGTATTTCCGTCACCTTTTTGAACTTCCCATTAGGATTAGGGATCTTCTGCCGCTTCTTCGGCCGTAGCCGCTCCAACTCAGCCTCTAGAGCCTTGATCTTCCGATCTTTTATAACAACTTCGGTCTCCTTGTCTTCGAACGCGTTGGCTATCTTCCTGTACTTCAGCCTGGTCCCTGGGGACTTATTTTTGCCGAAATCCATGATCTGGCGGCTCGTAGTAGGCGTCCGTTGGTCCTCTGGTTTAGAGCTTTCAGGGGTATCAGGCTCAGGGGTCTTTCTCTTCTCTTCTTGTATCTCTGGGTGCTGTAAGCACTTCCTGCGGCTAATAGGATAACATCCAGTAACTTTGAAGCCCGAGAGGATGTTTTGCTTAGTAAAAGCAGAAGTTCTGGCCTTGCTATAGCATCGGATGAAGTTGATCTTGTCAACAGGCGAGGCATCCGTCAAGGAATTCAACTCAGAGAGGAATTTCTGGTAGTAGGCCTTCAGGGCATTATAAGGCCCGTTATCTAGAGGTTGCATACCGTGACTAGTATGCGCAGGGAAGAAGCAGAGCAATATGTTGTTAAAATAACACATGGTCATGAATTCGTCCTATTAACACGCGTCAAATCATATTAGATCAGGAAAAATTAAAGGAAGTCCAAATAATATAAGGAAAAAGCATACACGTACGGAGGTGTGGCTCTTATGGCCATCCAGTATCAAAAGGATCGCCTCGGACTGGTCTCCTCCTCGTACCTCGTCCGCCTGTGGGAGGAAAACATCTTCTAGCCACTTGCAGGCGATGTCATTCGAAGTCCAGCCGTTTTCTGAGCATATATAATGCCAATCGGCGGTCTTTCGGAACTCCTCGATGAACCACTGGGCTTGGAGGTCCTTCCCCTTGAAGATAATGCCTGGTTTCAGGATTCTTCCAGTTGCTGAGATGGTCTCGATAAAGGAGGTCCAGCTACGGCCCTGAGGGCTCTTCAAGAAGGCCTTCTTACTAGCAGAACTACCCAGAACGAGAGAGTCGATGCCTGTGAATCTAATTAGATTTTTTCCGGAATTAAAGGGGTAAGTAGAGCTACCAAAACCCGACATGATGCCGCCCTTATCGACATTATAGGTGTTCTTTGGCTTCACCCAGCCGTAATCTTTGAGAATTTCAAAGAACCAGTTAACTGACTTAGGCGTAAAGCCCTTGAAGCGTGCTGCTTCCATCCTTTTGCCAATCTTGGTCTTGATCTGGGGGTTGCGGCGCTTGAAGGCTGCCATGAAGGTGTCTCCTAGGGGGGCCTCATCCCCCTTTTCTTTCAACACCTTCTTGATGATCTCACGGACCAGGGAGTGCGAAGGGGCTAGGCCCAGCTTTTCTTGCAGTAAAATCCACTTGATTATAGTCGTTTCTTGCGCAGGGGAGAGTCTCTGTTGCTGTATACGGGCTTCGGATCTCGTAGGCCTGCCGTTGAGTCGATTAGACAGCGTCATGACCGGAATACCGTGTTTTTGAGCGCTTTTTCGCATAGAGAGGCCCTCATCCGTGATATCTAAGATGGCATTCGCCATCTGATCCTCCGTATACGAATAGGGAGGCATTTTGGGCGATTATACGATGTTGCGGTGCATACAGAACGAGGCTTCAGGAGAGCCGTGAAAATCTCTATTTCGGGTACCAAAAGCGGGGTAATAGCTCCTCAATCACGTAAGCCGGGAGGGGTAAATTTAGCATTGGGGAAAACCTCAAGATCAGGGCTATCTAGAGCACGAAATATATTGTGAATAGCTTTAATATCGGGCTGAAAGCGTATAGGTGAACATGTGAGAGTTTGGGTGGTGATGGCGGGGTTTGGCTGTACGACTAGTGGGGGTGTACGACTTCTATGGGGGGGATGGTACTTATGTTCGTTATTCGTATAATGAAAATGGCAAGGGAAGGGAAATTGGAAAAGAAAAGGATGCAAAAACCGAACTGATGGTCAAGATTGTGAAGTGCAAGAGTCAAGCTCCAAAAGTGGTCAGTCTTGAGAGATGGTCTCGGATACAGATGCAGAAGCAGAAACAGGAGAGTGGAGGTGAGTCGAATTAAATACCTGAGAGATTTGGTACTTGTCCGGCCCGAGGGCACAGCTGCCACGGAGAGGTTGAACCACAGCCCGACGTCAATGACGGTATATGGAAGGCGGAGGCGCTGCACCGCAGGGAGGGCGTCATCCTTCTGTAATGATACTTAGCTTTCGATGGGGGTAGGTAGTCGTACGGCTATCCTTGCATCCGTGATTAAAAGCCCAAACTATTTACCGGGGTCCTATTGATCTGACCCCGATTCTCCCTAATAATATACTATTTATAGTTTTTTTGTGCCTAGCTATAAGTACTCATTAAGGGTTTGTAACCTCCTTGTTGTTATTGTCTTACTGTGTAACGAGATGCCGTTTTTTTACAAGTTGGCGCATCATAGAAAGGCCCAAGATCCTTCAAATTTTGGTTATTTATACAGTACTTGCTATCGAGAGCTCGATTATAATTCTAAACTTGATCGTCACCTTCAGGCTACTGAGTCAAGTCTCTCACCAGCCGCCATTTCCGGTGAGGGTCCTGTACAGGCGCCCATACATAGTTGCTGTAGCTTCAACGGCAGCACTAAGCACGTCGCTCACGGCTGCTTTTGCCATCCTTTCATGCCTGAAGAGCGGATATTGGCCAGATTGGTTCTTCGGAACGGCATTTCTCTGGAGCATGATACGTTGTGAGCAGTATCCATCTGTGTATGTAAGCAATATGTGGCTGCCAGCCCCCGTGTCAGGTGGCACAGGGCTCCATGGGTGCCATATGTTTGTTCTCCCACCAGCAAACAGACGATGGTCCTTTTCCTGAATACAACAACGCTGTACCGTTCATCGTGCACTCATCGTGTTTGGGATATTGCTCTCATGGTAGCATCCCTTCAGTTTTCTCACGGATTTTGACGAGAGTACTCCCTGACCGATCACCACACGAACGATACTTGCACCCGCGACCCTTTTTTGGTGCTGACAGAGCGTGTTCAAGTTGCAATCGCATGTTAATCGAAGATAAACAGCGGCAAGTTATTGGCAACCTTTTAGATCACACCAACTACTTGGAGGCCACGCTGAGAACCATGGCCGAGCACGATTCTGCCCTCCTGGCAGACCAGGCTGCTATTTAGAAGCGCCTACAAGATCAACTTGAGCAGATGACCATCGAGAGAGATCAGGTCAATGCGGAGAAGGCAACTCTGGAGCGTGCAAACGACGAGATGGCACGTAACTTCGCCCAAGATCTCAAGGAGATAGACGAGCTCAGGAAGCACCGCAAGCAGGCTGCTGATCCTGAAGCCACAGAGAGCCCTCAAGGCGATACTGTTCGCCCTCCGAGCCCTCTGAGATTGCAGAAAGCGTCGTCGTCGTCGCCATCCCCATACACTCTTGGTCTCCGTTTGGCATCACGCAGCCCGTTTTCTCGTGACGTCAACGCTTCGGATGACCACGTGTCCCTCCCCTCAGACGAAGAGGGCGATCGGGAGTCAGTTGTACCCCCCATAGATTCGAGCTCTGAAGAAGAAATTGAGAGCCCTACCGTCGGAAAGATGAGACAAGAGGCAAAAGGAAAGGCCGTCGCTGCCGCCAGAGGCGCCGCCACGAAGAAGGACGACGTCAAGAACGTCAAGGTCAAGGTCAAGGCTGAGAAGAAGAAGAAGCCCTTTGACGACTCCTCAGAGAGCGAGGTCCAACTGTCGCCGAAGCGCAAGGCGAAGGCAGTTCGGTTTGCAGACCTCACCACTGACGAATCATCCGATCAGATCGCCACTGATCCTTCTGACGATTCCTGTCGTCATCCTCGTCGTCATCAGACGAGACCGACTCCTCGGCATCTTCGCCGTCAAAGAAGAAGCGCAAGGAAGCGCGCGAGAAGAAGAAGCTTGACAGAGCAGAGTGATCGCCGCGTGGTCGGGATGGAGGCTCGGGGCGCGCGTCCTCCAGGGCGAACGATCCCGAACTCGGGCGCTCGGCGAGACTCACTAAGCGGTAGCGCATCACCCGGCTCCCAAGCAAGATCAAATCGTGCGCCAAGAATGCTATGCGCGGATATTACAAAGCACTGGCTGGAGTCCCCTTTCGTTATAGCGGTTCTTCCGTACTGGATGCCCTTCCTCCGCCGCTTTTACCGTACTAGAGCGTGTCCAGTCTGGCCAAGATGTACACTCGCGCACAATAGCAGCAGTCTGCATATATCCGTGTGGCCTGCTGGCCAAATGCTGACGACGGAGCGATTTCAGATATTCGGATGGCGGGACTGGACACGCAGGCAAAACTGTACGCACGGTAATGATATTACCCAATGGCCCGATTACATCCGACATGGATTAAGTTCTCCATGACGTTGGCAATGCTGTCGTATCTGGCTCTCTAGATTTGCGATCAGAGAGACCTCGTTCCTCATCCGGTCTGCCTGCGAACACAGCTTGCTTAACAAGGCTTGCAATTATCACAGCTCTTAAGGATCTGTTCATAAATTTCTTCTAGTGTGGTGGGGTTTGAATGGAGCAGAGGGGAGAGATCGGGAAAGATGGCGGCATATGAGGAGAAGGAGAGAGAAGATAAACAGAGGCCGACTTAGCGAAAGGGAGCACAGAACTACATATATACACATGGGAGTGCCCTGCTGGAGGTAGCTAGCAACCCTGGCTTTCGTCTCGGGAGAACGGCTTTAGTACCATCATCCGATGATCTCTACATTGCCCACAACGAAAAGCACGGAAAAGATGCCATCGTGTGGCCCCTCAGATGGGAGTGGGCCGCATGCAGAGCACCATGGCCCATCTCGAGTGCTTCTTGCAAGTGTCGCGCAAAGTCGGGGAGGTTATACGTCATGCCATACCCACAGCTTTGCTAAAATGCATCTTGTTCCCCTGCCAACGGGAGAGCGCGCCCTGCCAACAAAGTGGGTGCCAGACCAGAAATTTACTGGCGAGACCTTCATTCGCAACAGAGTTCGTCTCGTTGTATGTGGCAACTTTGAGAGACGAGAAAGTTGGTCCATCCAAGAACTATATGCCGCAGTTGCCAACATGGTTTCCCTGCGTATTTTCCTGACACTTGTGGCTGTTGATGACCTTGAATGCGTTCAATACGACATCATTACAGCTTTCCTCAACTCTCGCATGCCTGAGGGGGTGAGGGTTTATTGTCATCAGCCAGAAGGCTATGACGACGGCTCTGGCCTTGTGTGGCTACTCAAATCAGCCTTGTATGGCTTGAAACGAGCCCCATTGTGGTGGTTCCAGACACTAGCCACAGCACTGAACTTCTCGGTTTCAGGCCAATGGAATCAGAGATGTGTATCTTTCTGAACGGTGCCGGCATCATGATTCTGATCTATGTTGATGACCTCTTGATCGCTGGGAAAAGCAAGAATGACTGCCAGACCACAGCCGACCAGCTAGCCCAACATTTCGAAATCCGAGCCATGGGAGACGTCTATGAATACCTTGGCATCAGGATCTTCCGCAACCGTGAGAAGAGACAGATATTCATGACGCAAGAGGCTTACGCAACAAAAATTCTGCATAAATTCGGTATGCAAAACCTGAAACCGGCAGCACAGCCCTGGAAATCTGATCTCACGATACCTTCGACCTGGACCGTTCACTCAGACGAACAGAAGTCCTATATCAAGCAGACCGGATCTCTGAATTACCTTAGCGCCGGTAGCAGACCTGATATCACACAGACGATCAACAAGCTCCGTGAAGCTAATGCCGGCCCTTCCAAGCAACACTTAGAAGCCTTAAAACATCTCTGGCGTTACCTTAGCGGCTGCCCTGCTCTGGACATTGTCCTTGGTGGAAAATACAACCCACGAGATCTGCAGCTTCACGTTTTTGCAGATGCTAGCTTTGCAAGCGAGCTCGGAACACGTCTGTCCATTGGTGGCCAAGTCGTTTTTCTTGCCGGTGCACCAATCTACTGGAAATCCAAGAAACATTCTCTCGTCTTCATGCGTTCAACAGAGTCAGAGTTCTGTGACTTGACTCTAGCGGGAATCCCTGCTCTTTCGATCGCAAAACTACTGAGAGAACTCGGCTTCCACCAATCACTGCCGGTCGTCATGTTCACAGACAGCCTCAACGCAAAAGCTACTGTCTTAAATCCACTGAATACGGCTAGGACACGCCATATTGATACGCAATATAAGTGGATAACCGACCCTACATCAAAAGGCTATTCCAAGCTTGAACATGTACGAACCACCTCTATGGTTGCTGACGGTCTTACAAAGCCGTTGCTGAAAGAAGGTCACCAGAACTTCGTCAGAATGCTTTGTTTACAGATGAGACTTTGGTAAAGTTTGTTCTTCGCCTAGATAGATAGAGTGTATATGCTTTGCACCCTGCCTTGCTAGAGGGGGTGTGTTGTGGCCTCAGGCCAACCACGGTGCACAGACCACCGTTGTGTCAAATGGCACGCAAGCCACAGTGGTGTTCAGGGAGGTGGCAGTGCACCGACAGGTCTGTGCAGGCCGTCACAGCTGCTGGCCTTTGGCCCGTAAATAGGAACAAGACATTGGCAAACGAGCTTGTGATAAGTAGCTATTGTGGCGCGACGGCAGCGAAACGCGCTGGCCACGGCCGTCTTGGTCGCGCCGCCCACCACGGCTCCGCACATGAACGCGCGAGCTTCTGAAGTGAATTCATCGTTTTTGCCACGATTTCCGCTCAAGGCGAGCCCAAATTCGTGTAATTCGTCCATTATTTGACTGCGTTGTGGTTTTTTGAAAGAAGAGGGTGATGGTGGATTGATTTTTTACGCGTCTGTGGGGCGTTAGGTGTACGCATAATATTGGTGGGTCAGTGTATAACATGGTGTGCATTGGCCAAATGATCCCTATTTCGCCGACATTCCTAGGTCAAAGTGAGCAGGCTCATCACTGTGGGTGGCCGGATGCTTTTCTGGCGAGTCCGAGCCGCGAAGACCCTTGTGGTACTCGTGAAAATCCATGATTGGTTCCTCGCGCGAGGCGAGCCAGCAGAAACTCACGACCGATGCCCTTCGCTAGCGACTGTAGTAGTCGGTTATGGTAGAACCGGACAGTGTCGAGACTGCCCTTGGGCAACATGACATGGACGACGAGTATCAGGAGTGCACCGGAAATGACGAGAGACCGCCGGTTTTTGTCCATGTGGCTGTGGATATCCTGGCGCAAGAGCAACCTGCACTCGTTATCGATGGTATTAACAACGTCCTGCCGCCAGCGGTACTCGGCCATATTGTTACTCTCGAACCACTTTTTGTCGGCAAAGGGGACCAGATAGACCATTCAGTGTTTTTGAAGTAGCCGGTGATGCGACAGCTGCGATCGCGATACGCGTTCTTAAGTCTCTTGACTCGGGCCTCTAGACTGTCTCCTGTGCTGGATTACGCCCAAAGACAAGCACTTCATTGAGCATTTCGTCAGTCCGAACGGCAAGCGGAACCATGCCTGGGTCCTGGAGGCGGGGATTTGATCGGAAGCAGGAAGCCAGTTCAAGTCTACATTTAGTCTGAATATTTTAAGGAGTCAGAATACCAAACGAGCGGTAAACACCTCGATATCTATCTAGTATCTGGAAGGAGAAACGTTTTATTCTTCGTCATTCTTTTAAGGACTGATACCTTTCAAGCAACTCTAGCTAGGATATTTTCTCATCAGCAACATGTCTTCCCTTCAACTACCTGAACAGTATACCATTTCTTCCTTTTCAGAACAAACATCACCTTCTGAACCTTTGTCATCCTGGATACAGCAAGTGTCGACAGCCCATGCCAAGCTACTACAGGTAGTCATCCCAAGGAATGCCCTGCTCTTGCCAGTTCTCCATTTTGTCTTGGTTTTGATGACGAGAGCGTTTCAGTGTTTCGGGAAGGTTACGTTCATCATGCAATCGCACAGTGACAGGCCGCATACACTGGCCCCGTCGATTGACGCGAGCAGCCGCTTGGGCTTCTTCTTTAGCATCGCAAGCAGGCTCTAACATCACGCAGTAATTTGCGCGTTGCATGTTCAGCGCCGTCCCACAGATACGGTAGGTGGAGACAATGATCTTATTGCGTGATTTACTCGTGCAGTCGGACATCAAATCTTCGATCATTTCTCTGCGCCCGTATTCAGGTGTCTTCTCAGTGGCCACCTTGCGCGTGCGTCCGTTGATCAGCATCACCTTGACTTTCGGAAACTTGACGCACAGTAACATGAAGGTGATGTAGCTGGACACAGGCGTGTCAGACAAGACAACCATGTGTCGGATGTTCGTGCCATCAGCAGGGCCGGGATCGTCAATGGCGACCGGCCGGCGGTCCCTGTATGCCACCATGTCGTTTACATACTGGCAGAGCTGGGCAAATTTCGAAGACTGCTCCATGAGCTGTGGAAGATATGGCCAGAACGGGGAACTGGCCAACTGCCGCTGCAAGTCGTTTTGGCCGGCATCGGTAGCTACAAGCAAGCAGGCCTTATCTCCATGGCGATTGATGCTATTGCGTTCTAGGTCCTCCTCCGGGACGAGCTTGTCCAGATAAAGGCGAGCGACTTCGGGATAGACGTTTGCACGAAGCAGCTGTGTCCAGATACCGCTACGGCCTTTGCCCAGTTTCATCGCTGCGGCACCCTCTCCACCGAAGAACTCGAGTTCGACACTGTGCTGGGTAGGTTCAGGACCCCGCGTTCCGTCGACTTTCCAAGCATTGTGCCTCTCGTCGAAAGCCTTTCTAACATATGCCTGGACGTTGGCAGTCAGCTTGCAAAATGCGTTGCGGCCAGCCCCATTAACCATGTTGCACACGACGCGTTGTACGACGATTTCTCGTCCGGCATCGCCAATAGTCTGGCCGCGAAAGGTGTCCACATTGCGACGGGCCATGAGTACATGGGGGACAAGGTTCTCCATTAACTCGCTGATCGATTTCTTGCGTTTGTCCACCTTATCCTTGGTCTTTACAATATGGTGTTTTTGCAACAGGTAGTTCCAGTCAACTTTCTTATCTTCAAGCTCAGTCACGTTGGTAACACCGCCGATGCTGGGCCTGCCTTCTTGTTGTTCACCCTTGACTCGAAGAATGTGGTCAACGATGTTGGTTAGTTGGCCAGGACCACCGGCCGAGATGGAGCCCGAGATGGCGAAGGCGACCGTGGGATCCCAGGACTTTTCGGTGATAGTTTTTAGCAGGGCGAACGGCTGAGTCTTATTTGATAGAGAGCCGCGGTAGGTGTGCGCCTCGTCGAAAAAGACGAAAGTTGCAGCAAGACCATTGGTAGTGAACACCTTGCCCTCGTGGTATGTATCATCCTCGGCTTTGTACCTGACACGTTTGCCGTTATAAGCTTTGCGTAGCCCCGGTGCCCCAGACGAGCTGACCAACAAGAACCAATTGCTAAGCCCCTTTCGGCCTTCGAGATGACATTCGGGTTGGTTTCGTTGGTTGACGTAGTACCTAGTGGCCTCAGCCATGGTTTGCCCAACACGGTCGCTGGTGTGATAATATGTTTTATCTCCTTTGAAGTCGTTATGCAAAATGGAGAAGTGGAGATGCTGCATGATGGGATGGCCTGCGTCGATGAGCTTTTCAAACTCTCGACGCCAGCCGTGGATCGAGCTCGGAGGGGCGAAGCATATGGTGGGCAGCGACGCCAGCATGGTGGCCACCAGGTATGTCTGTCCGGACTTGACACAAGGACAAAGTAGACCGTAAGGTGAGACGCGCTGGCTGGGGCAGACGGAGTCCATCATTTTCTCTTGGTTCTGGGGCAGATGCGTACGGCCATCGATGGTGCGACTTTTCTTCCAAAAGTCTTGTACTTCTGCATGATTCGCCTTGATGAGAGCGAATATAACAAAGGAGGCAAGCACCTCGATCGTCTTGCCTAGACCCATTTCGTCACCAAGGCAGCCGCCCGGCACGCCCCGTATTGGGAACTGTGTCACCATCCACCAGACGGCGTGAAGTTGGTAGGCGGAGATAGTTAGCTTAAAGCCAACCGGTCTGTGCTCTGTTATATTCTCTTGGCACTGGAACAGGTGGCATAGGCTTGTCCAGTTTTCATTAGAGATGGTGCGATTGGCAAACTGCCCGCCAAGATTTTCGATCTCGTCTTGGTGTCCCTCCTCGTCGGCGTCATCATCCATATTATCGACCGGTACGGCATTTCCGTCGGGAGATGCGGGTGAGGACTGATCATCGTCAGATTCGTCGTCACTACTAATATAAACCACTTCCCGAGGAGCTAGCTTTATAGGCTCAGCAGCACTTCGCGTCTTGGGAGCACGGGAAGTTGCATTTCTGCGATGTGTTTGTACTATCCCCTCGGAGTCGCTGCTTAGGTCTTCACCAGTGTCGGTGCTGTGGTCCTCAAAACTGGTGCTGGCAGCTTTTCCCGTGCGCCGCGGTGGCGACGTTACTGCGCGACTGGGTTCGTGTTTCTGGTTTGCTAGGTCTTGGAGCCATCTGGTTCGGAGTCGATCTCGGACCGAAGGCCTCAGATTCGCGGCGCCACGTACAAGTTCGATTCTTGTGCTCCATGGGCATGTGGCAGTCTGACGCCGCAAGGCAGCAATGCGCTCGTCGAGGTGCCGCAGATCCTCGGATATCTTGCAAAGAGATTGGCGATGGGAACCCTCCCGGAGGCTACGCCACGTGTCGAGTGCGTTGTGACGTAGATCGTCCTCCTTCTCTTCCCACCATTCAGCTTCGTAACGCTGGATAACCTCGTCGAGGATATCTTCGATCGCTTGGGCGGTGAGGCTGTTGCCGTGTGGTTGTCGATTCTTACGCTCCTCCTGTTCTTCTTGAATCTCCTTCCAAGTTTCCGAGTCGTATTCTTCATCGGACTCGCCATAAAGTGGGAGAACATCGTCGTCAAAGGGGTCACTAAGAGGCACGACTACATCACTTGGCTGCTTATTCCAGCGGCGAAACGGGGGGGAGGCTCCTGGGCGATGTTGGTATGCAGCGCGTCTCAGTAGCCGATGGACTTGAATCCGGTGTCCTACCGGGATATTCTCACTCTGAAAGGTGAATTCGCGGACTTGGTCATCGGGGGAGTCAGCGTCGTGATGGGAGATGTTATAGTTTGAAAGGCCCGCCTGATTGAAGTAAGGCTTGGCCGGTTGCTGCTTTCGGTTGATGCCATCTCTCGATACCAACTGCGGCCGAACCCTGCGTTTTGTAGGTTCGTGGGGAGCAGTGGTGGACTGCGGCGCAATATCCTTAGGCTGCTTCTCTTCCACCAAGATTGCCTCGCTATTGATCCGTCGTCTCTTGCTAGGCGGCTTGTCGGTAGCGGGAGATTCTGCAGCGGCAGCCGCAGAAGGTGAGTCGTCGTGGGCAGGCGTGTCGGCGTACTGCAGTTCGAGACGATTGTACTTGGGGCTAAGTCGGCGGAACTGACCGAGGGCGCTTCTGAACGTCGCCTTGTGATTAAGGGTCTTCATACCGAGTACCTCAAACAGCACTTCTTCGTCCGAAGTGAGGATAACGTGGCCGTTGGCATCCTGTTCGCGGAGAAGAGTCTTGAGTCGTGGGGGAAGATTTGACGAGGGTGCTGGCAGCCTCCAGGTTCGATTCTGGGAGCAGAGCTCTCGAACGACCCGCTCGACTCCCCAATCCCAAGGATCATCATCCATCTTCTAGTTGGATGCTGTGTGTGTTTGTGGCCGGGGTGCCGGGGTTCGAGGTGCTTGTTTGGCTCGAGACGTCGCTTTCTAGAAGATGCGAACTACCTGTGAGCGATGCGCTTAGGTACAGGGTACGAGAAGATGATCGAGGGTGGAGAATAGATGACTTACCTGTTTTCGGTTCAGGTTGTGGATTGATGCCAGAATTTGGGTGACCAGGTCATCGCCGCGAAGGGGTGTCAAGAACGAGAAAGCCCTACAGGAACCACGAAAGATGGGAAGGTGGGAAGACGGGGAGGCCACGGGAACCAAGTCCAAACAGGTGTGTCATATAGAACTGGATTTGGGTGCCCGAGGCAGCTATCGTGAAGACACTACCACCTGGACCTGGACGACAACATGGGGCGCGTGGCAGCAGCTGAGCTCGACCAGGCAAAGCGGGAAGCCCGATCAGTGTCGTCTCCCAAGGCAACACAAATAAGCCAGGAAAAGAAGAGATCTTATTGTATCAACGTTCCTCGGTGAGGCGACTCGGGATACAACCAAAGATCTGGATCTTCTGACGCAAACGTTCCTACGTGAGGCGACTCGAGGCAGTAGATTACGCTGCAATCACAGCAATATCACCCACTCGCGGCAGTCCCTGACTACCGACAGAACCATCTCCTACAATCTGCGAACAACGCGCAGATTCCTCGCGCACGCCTTTCGCACCTTCCTCTCCTTCACACGCGCTGAAAACGCGTAATCCCTTGTTATTTCGAATCATCACGCGCACCGCGCCCAACTTCAGCAAGATGTCCGAAGACAGCACACAAGACCCGGTTCGATACCTGAGAAATCGAGGCCTACCTGCCACCCTTATCAATTTGATCGACCTCGAACGTATCAACATGGACCAACCAGCCGACCTCCAGGAAGGAGAACCCATATACATCAACTCATACGCCTTGTCGTGTATTGACCGCTATGACAATGCCCAGAGACCCGTCCCTTTCGAGATCCATGAGACATTCCAGATGGACTTTAAGAACTGGACAAAGGCAGACTTCGAGAAGGCCGAGCGCACCATACGAGGCATCTTCAGGAAATGCCTTAACTGTAAAGGAATCTACTTGGGCAGAGCGAATCATTCTATCGCAGACGCCCTTGCCAACCTTGTCACCGCAAAGGACCTCCCAGTCTGGGATAAAGTCTCACTTGACAGAGCAAGAACTGCTTACCCGCACCCCAATGTCTGGAAAATCGTTGACGTCTGCATGGCCACACAGACTGATGCTCCCAATGCTGATACCCCAGGCACCGACATTCCCGATACCGATACCCCAGATTTGATTGACCCTCATGATGACATGCCTTCTGTTGCCGCCGAATATGCATTACGAAAGACTGCCCCAAATCTGAATCTAGTCCAGTACCGGAATCCCTCACAGACACCGTAAATCCCAACGGCATATGCAACTGGCAACTTCATGTCCGATCAGCAGAGCGTTACTCCTGGCCAGGCATGGGTGCCTTTATAGACCGCTATTGCGCCCATTGTCCGGAATGCGGCAGAGGTCGCAACTCCCGTCTCAAGCCAGCCGGTTTGTTACAACCCCTGCCTATACCGGATCGCCCTTGGCAGCACGTCTCTATGGACTTTAAGACCATGCCGAAGGACAAGCTGGGCTATGACACAATCTATATGGCGGTAGACCGACTAGGCAAACGCCCGTGGTCTATTCCGACGTATAAAACGTATACAGCTAAGGACCTCGCCACCTTATACTTCAATGGACCTTGGAGGGTCTACGGCACCCCCGAGACTGTGACATCTGACCGTGGTCCCCAGTTCATCGCTGCCTTCCTAGACGAACTAGCCAAGCTCACAGGGATGGACCTACGCCGCTCTACCGCAGAGCACCCTTAGACGGATGGTCAGACGGAGATCATCAACCAGTTCCTCCAGACCAAGCTCCGACCCTTTATAAGCCACTTTCAGGATGACTGGTCACAGTCGACTGTTGACAGAACCCTCCCCCACGCGTAAAACTTTCATGCACACACAAGTTTTCGCAAGCATTGCAAGTATCTTTGCGCATTTCCTTATCTTCGCGCATCCTGCATACATCCGACAAAAATGACCTCTATCAGTGGCAACAGCGAAATCCAAGTCGCTCAAGACCCCGCAGACATCTTGAGAGATAGGAAGCTACGATATCTCAGCGACCGCAACCTACATGTCAACCTTATCGACCTTATTGATCTTGATCGCATCAAATTTGGAAAACAAGTCGATCTTGAACACGGCAAAGATACTCATTTCAACTCGTACACCCTAGCCTGCATCGACCGCTATAATGACAATGAGAAGCCTGTCCCTTACGACATCTTTAAGAGCTTCCGAATGGACTTTGAAGAATGGACAAGAGACGACTTCGAGAAAATTGAGCGAACCATCCAAGGCATCTTCCAAAAATGCCTTATTTCCCAAGGAATCTATCTAGGCAAGGCAAACCACTCCATCGTAAACGCGCTCGCCAACCTCGTAACCGCAGAAGACCTCCCTATCTGGGACAAGATCACGCTTGACAGGACGAAAACGTTGTATCCAAACCCTGACCTGTGGAAGATGATTGAAGGTTACATGGCTATCCAAGCACGAGAAAACAGCGATAACGCTGATTCATCCAACACCAACACACCTGGTTTCGATCTTCAAGACGAAAATGACCCCCCTCCTGCTAATACTGCTAACCTCGAACCTACCGAGCAGCATGTTTCATAGAGCCATATCGCGTTCCAGAGCATTGACAGCAACCAGTTAAGAGATTCTTCACGAACACCTGCTCCGATACGTCCCCAATATCGGAATCCCTCACAGACTCTATAAGCCGGATTCATACCCGGACAAACCCCGATAGCAAACGCAACTAACAACTTCGTCCCCGATCCTTGACATGTTACTGTTACACCGGACCCCGGTTTCGAGACCTACCAGCAGCACAATCAATGGCTTCAGAACCAGCCACCTGATCCATATACCTAGATTCCTCCTATCCCAGTAGCCAACGAGGACCTAGCTCCCGGAATAATCGCAACATTTGCCAAGATCTGGAAAGAAAAGAACTGCTACTCAGGACGACCCTACGATATTCTGGATGATAAGATACGCTACTTCCTGAATACATGTTCTACCATTGGCATCAAGCCTGGCCAGTTCCACGCAGTATTCCCCCAAGTCCTTACTGGCACAGCTCAAGAATACTTCATGCCTTATATCAGCCGTCACTCGATGTTCTCAGACATGTACAACCGTCTTAAGGCACATCTTGACATGGAAGTCAACAAGACTCAATATCATCGCGATTAGTCGGCAATCACCTATATCAACATGAAGGCACGACCTGAGAACGCTAGCAAGACCGGCATGGAGATCCTTGAAGCACTCCTCAGCAAGCTGCAACTATGTCAACGCGCCCTTGGCCCTTTGTACCTAGGCGAGATACAGCTAATTGCAGCTGTGGAACGCGCCTGCCGTAGTATCAAAGAATTCAATTACGCCTTGTTCACCCCGTCTTATATATTCGAGGCTCTTGCCTTAAAGCTCCGACAACTATTCCAGACCTCTAAAGACTTAGCTAACGGCACCTAGCATACTACTAATCAATACTTTACTGATCGCAAGTTTCACCGGCGGAAAGACAAATATCAAGGCCCGTACAAGGTTCTATCGGTGACAGACCGAGAAGTGACCGTTGAAATGGTCAACGGACCAACCCTATTCAACCGCACGCATGTCAAGCCCTATAACCGTCACCCTGATGCAACCCTCGATACTGAGAAGCCCAACAACCCCGATGCCCCGGTTCCGTTCGAATATCCAGAACCGACACTCCTCCGTCGTCGCGGACGCCCTCCGAAGCTCCCTACACCCGTCCTCTAGCTTCTCTGGGTGTCTGTGGATGGATTGTGAAGATATGGCGAACGCAGTTTGGACGATTAATAAACGTAGACCAGACCTGATTGCTCCATGCCGACTAAGAGAGTTCATACTAAATCGACGCCGTCTCTCGGAGGGGCACAAACATCTATGCCGTTCCAGTAGCCATTCAACGTTCTGAAGCGACCCTCGTGGAGCGGAAGGCATTGTGGACCGAACGTCTGCATGCGAATATTTCCATATGCGAGTGTTCCCAGTCGTGGTCACCGCAGGACTTGACCACATGTGAAGGGGTGGGGAGCCCGCGATAGGCTATAGCCGGAGCTTCCTTGCTGTGTTACAAGATTGATTGGTAGCTGCCGTTCGTGGCTACCAGCACCGTCGTCAGGTGTTGCATGTTCCTTTATATGCAATGCGTGAGATAAGGTAACGATGCATTCCTGGTGCGATACTTGCATTGGTATTATTATAAGGGTTGGTACCTAGTCAAGTGGTACGACATGGCTCTTTCAATGCCACTATCTGTTATGGTATTATGTAATCCCTCCACATATTTATGTACATATATACCCCTAGTGTTGGAACAGGCTTGAAAGATCAACCATAATACTCGAGTATGGGGTCAAGGTCATGATGTTGCTGATGGTTGGATTGGGAGGTCTAGCTGGACCTGAAGGTCTAGCTAAGTGACCTCGCAATCCGGTAACTATCTAATCACTTATCTAATCATACATGTGGGTCCTGGTATAGATGGTTTGCAGGCTGGAATCGCATGGATCCAACACCTAGCTTCCCCTTTCTCCTCCGACATTGCCTCTTCTTCCTTAGATATCGTTGAATCTAGATATTTCATCCCATCAGCCCTGACCAGCGCAGCTGCAGGTCTGATTGTCACACTATCACGGGTTCGCTTCAGACTCACCCGGCGGACAAGACGCATATCTGAATGGCCTCTATGATCTCTGCGACTTAAAATCGTGGAATAGTGAGGTAAACGGCTCGGTCCTTAATTCCAGAGGATGGGTACTGCAGGAGGTAATTCCGTATCTTCAGACTGGGAGGCTTAACTAATAATAGGCAGCGG